CGCCTGCCCCCCGCTCTTCTTTGCACGCCCATGCAGGCACTGCGTACCCGCGAGCCCCCTGGGCATCCCCCCCTTTTTGCTGGCAGCCGCCCCCGAGCACAGGCAGGTTCCTGGGGCTCTCGGTTTCTCTCAGTCTGGCTCGCCTTTTCCCCGATGCCCCGGCCCCCACCCATACCCGCAGCCCATTTGTCACACTTAGCTTGTCACGGTGGTGGGCACAGAGGTAGCACCGTGGCGTGGGCCCGAGCAGGCGGTGGAGACCGCACGGGAAAGCTTTGCTCTGCAAGGACGGGAGTCGCTCTAACGCTACTGTCCTCGTGAGTCCTGTCCCTGTGCAAAGCCCCTGGGACCGTGCAGGAGCAAGCGTTACCTGGCTAGCTCTGCTCCTGGCACCTCTGTCAGGAGGAGAAGAGGGGTACAAGGGATCCAAGGGCTCATGAACCCAGAGACTATTAAGATCTGAGTGCTTTTGCATGTAGATGGGAGGAAGCCCCCCTCTCTGGGAGCTTATTTGCACCGATTTTCTGGAGGAGAGCCTGGCTGTGACCTAGATAGTGTCCCAGGGCATTCAAAGAGGAGTGGGTCAGAGCTGGGAAATGACAAAGCAAGGGACAGTTTCTAGGAACCCAGAGGGGACTCAGATAGTCTCCTCCATCATGCCTTTGCCCCCATTTGCAACCTCTTGGCTGTCAAGACCAAACAGAAGGGAATTTTTCTTCTTGGCAAGGGTGTGGGATTGCAGATACAGAGATCCTTCACAGCTTCAGAGTGAGCAAATGGGCTTGGTATTTCCTCCTAGAATATTATATGAAAGACCCAAAATATGCTAATAAGAAAAATCCATCTGGCTGTGGTACAGGCAGTTCCTAGCTCTTCGCTGGATGCTTAGCCAGGCTCAGAGGGAGCAAACTGGGGATCTGCTGTCCCCTCTGCCAGCCTGGAGTCCCAAAGGGGTCGCAATTCACCTCCCCCTCTTGGACCTGGCCCCACATCCCCAGCCTGGAGGACCAACTGCAGGGCACTCGGTGTGTCCTTCAGCCCCGGCATCTGCTTTGCTGCTCCCCCACCCTCTCCCTCCATTCCGCATGTCTGCGGCTGGATTCCCTATGCGGCTGCTTGGCTGGGCTGCAAACCTTTAATTGATTCCTGAGCTGGATTAGACTGTCAGCAGCCCTGGGGTTTTGACAGCACATCCACGGGCCCCTTACCCACACAGACCAGAGGCAGCCTGGAGAGAGACGGGCACCAGGCCAGGGACCCACAGGGTGGACTCTGCACCCCAAAACGCTACCACCCTGCAGCTGGGCAGGCTCGGCTCAGCCCCTGGAGGCTTGGTGCTGCCCTTCGGCAGTCTTGGCTCCCTGTCCAGCTGCCATGTCCCTCCTTCTCGCTGCTCTTGGCCCCTTTCCCTCACTGCATCGCAATGAGTCATCTTTGCTGAGCTCACCCGCTGGAGCCGCAGGGGGGCTGGCAGGCCTGGCACCCGCCGGCGCTGAGGGAGGGTCCCTCACCTGGCAGCATGGTCACCGTGAGCTGCAGCCCTCTGGCCATGATGTGCAGGCACCAGGGCACATCCTGGTCTCTCCTGCCCATCCCTTGACCGGGCACCCAGCCTGGGCACGGGGCAGAGGGAGGGGAGGGTGGCACACGCAGGCCTCGCTGCAGGCAGCTGCAGGTCCGTGCCACGCTCATTGAATGTCTGGCGGGGGGATCCAGACAAGGAAAAGAGAGCGCGGCTGGCGTTGCCTGGGGATATGGAAAAGTGATGCTGGCCAGACAGACAGCGCCTGATTGCCTAGCTCATTGCAGGGCCAGCCAGTCCCTGCGCAGTGGACCAGAGAACATGACAAGGAGCAGGCTATAGAGCGCTGTTTGTGCAAGAAGAGGCAGCCTGCCCACCCATGCCACGTGTGCCCATGTCTGCACCGCCAAGTGCCCCTATCTATGTGCCGGGGCAATGGCCTGCCTGACCACCTCTCTCTCCCTGTCCAGGCTCCCTTCTTGGTGACAGCCACCGCCGGGCACCTCAGCGGCGCGATGAACCCCACCGTCGGCATCGCTGTCATCCTGACAGGTACAGCCGGCAGACACGCATCCCCTCCCTGCTCTCCAGCGAGCCTGGCCCAGGGCAGCTGGGCAAGGGCCGGGAGGCTGCACGGGCATCCCCAGTGCTCCCTGTTCCCTGCCCAACCCCTGCTTGCCTCTCCCAGTCCTCCAGGCCGCCCACTGCCAGATGATCAAGGACCTGAGTGCCTGCCTGCAGGGCCAGAGCCTCCGGGTGGACTGCCGTTATGAGAACAAAACCAGCAACCCCCTGACCTACGAGTTCAGCATCACCAAGGACAACAGGAAGCATGTCATCCACAGCACCATCAGCGTCTCTGAGAACGTCTACCGGAGCCGAGCCAATGTCACCATGCAAAAGAACCTGGTGTGCCTCTACCTGCAGAGCTTCACTACCAGTGATGAGGGTGTCTACATGTGCGAGCTGAAGGCCACCAATGACTACACTGGCAACCAGATAAAGAACATCACCGTCATCAAAGGTGAGACAGGCAGCGGTGCCTGGCCTCAGCCCCTCCTTCCTACCTGTTCCTTGGCTTGGCAGGGCCAGCAGAGAAAACCACAACGCCCTGTGGCATCCCCAAACCCTCCCTGAGTCCCATAAAAGTTTCCCAACCCATACATGCCTTTCCTACAGCAAGCAGAGCAGTCAGCCCACAGATGGCTCCATCCAGACTGCTTACCCTTGCCTCTCTGGGCCCCACCTCTGGCGCATTGCCCAGGTGTCCTCCCATAGGGGATGCTTCACAGTCAGTCACTGCAGAGGGGAGCAGCCTGCTGGTGAGGGACTGAAGAGCTATGGGGTCCGGAGCGGGAGCGCAGTGGGGATTTTCCACACTCACGTCCCACAGGAGCAGTCCTCCAGTTGCAGAGCCCTTTGTCTTACCTGGTGCCCATCCCCGTGTCAGGCACAGGTTGGGTTTTTCCCCGCTATGTGGGCAGAAGGTGGGAGGGGAAACAGGAGAGGGGCCAGGATGGGACTTGCTGTATTTCTGTGGCAGAGAAAAGGCAAGAAGCTGAGTCCCTGTACCCCTTATAACACCCAGCCCAATCCCTGTTCCTGGAGGATTTCATTGTGGCTTTTCTCTCCCTCCCCATTCCCTGTCCTCACAGACAAACTGGAGAAATGTGCCGGCTTCAGCCTCTTGATCCAGAACACTTCGTGGCTCCTGCTGCTTCTCCTTTCCCTGCCTCTCCTGCAAGCCGTGGACTTCGTGTCCCTGTGAAAGGAAAAGCACACACACACACGCACGTACGCACACACGCACGCACGCACACACCGAGTACCCCAGCAAACCCACCTCCCCGCCAGAACGCAGCCCTTGGAAAGAGAAGCTGAACCATTTGGAACAAGTGAAACCTCTCTCTGTGTTATCTCTATATAGCCGTATATCTAACGCTAACCACCGTCCTGTGCCGAGACCCGCCATCACACGCACACATGCCCTGCTCTGAAGCATGGTGGCTCCGCTAGGCAGCGTTGCTTCTCCCATTGCACCTCCCCGCTCGGTAGGCTGGCTGGTTTGCTCACGCTGGGAGCACTGGAGCCTCAGCCCCGCACAGCCCACTTCTCCCGTCCCTTTAACTTTTGGGGTTTGCCTGTTCTCAACTGGGGAAAGACAGCTGGACTGGCAGGTAAGAGAGAGAGATGATGCGAGAGCGTGCGGAGGGGTCCCTGTGCTGGGTGCTGTGCCCACAGCCCCCAGAGGAGACGGGGCTGCCGGCGTCCCCGACCCACCCTGCCTGCTAGCCAGGTGACTTAAGGATTTGTCAGCCTGCTCCTCTCGCCCTGAGTCACCCCGAGCTGCCGCAACTGGGAGGGGGCACGAGGCGAGTCCTGCCTCAGAGCAAGCAGGGAAGAGACAGAAGGAGCAGGGGAGGCATGGGATGATGCTGCGCCTGGCCAGGCTGGGAGGAGAGAGGGGAGCAGGTCTGGGAGACACCCATCAAATGCCCCTGCCTCCTTAGGGCTCTTTTGGGGCCCTGGGAGCGGGTTCACTGCAAACATGCTTTGGCAACAAGTTTTTCCTAATCTGTTTTTTACAGCTGAGCTGGAAGTCAGGCCTCCTCCAGACATCGTCTGGTACCTTCGGGCTGCCCAAGCCCGAGACACCACTTGCTCTCCCTGGGGACCAGCCCTTAGCTGTGACGAGAGAATTGCTGCCAGCACCCGCTCGCAGTGGAGGCAAGCAGAGCCTCTCTGAGCTAGCCACAGCCCCGCCGTCACCCCTGCTCCCCTTCCCGAGGACCCGGAGCTGGATCCAGGCAGGCTGGTGGGGAGGGGGCTCCCCTATGGGAGCATGACCCAAAGGTCTCTGCAGGGACACCTCTGCACCCTGTCTTCCCCAAGGAAACATCTGGGGGCCCTGACCCTTCCTCATGGCACACGTCCCGGTGCCTGGCCTTGGGTAGGCTCAGCAGCCTTCCTCCAGCGCAGTCTTCCTCCAGCCCCACCATGCCACTAGGAGGAACCCACATGCCCCCTCCCTTCTCCCTCCTCCCTCTCAGCATTTCCCTGTTGCCATTTAAGAGCAGAAAAGGGCCTAAGGGCAGCCCAGCTCTTGGCTACCCAGGACGTTCCCAAGGGTCGGCGAGCGGGGGGAGAGGGATGCCGAGCACAGCCCGCATCCATCAACCCAGGCCTTGCCCCGCTGCCCCGCGGGACCCCGAGGGGCCGGTGAGCTGCTGCCCCAGCCTCCCCGAAACCCGGCGGCTCCTGGGCGAGCAGCAGCCCAGCCAGCCATGGGGAGAGAGACCGGAGCGCTGGCCCTGCTGCACCCTTGCCCAGAGAAGGGCACGGGGGCAGGAGAAGATGCAGGCAGGAGCATCCAGGTCCATGGGGTGAACCCCAGCCCCGCCGAGCTACCCGTGCAGCCGGGGCTGTGCCACCACAGCTGAGCAATTCACAGCAGCTGCTCCCCACTCCTTGCTCTTCTCCAGACACCGCGAGCTGCCTCCTACCCCCACGTCCATCCCTGCCTGCTTGCTTGCTGTCTAGTGCTGCTGAGGCTGTGTATAGCTGAGGTCTGGCTGTGCCCAGCTCCCTGGGCTTGCTGGTGAGCGCCGGGGCAGGTGCAGAGCCCAGCCGGCAGAGCGCGGATGCGTCTCGAGTCTCATTTTTTTGTGAGCATTTGTAGTTGTTTCCACAGCTTGTCGTAAAAGAAATTCTGTTAAGGGGGAAAAAAAAAAGAACCCTATGAAAAGCAACAACAACAACAACAACAAAAAAAACACCTATTCTCCGGGAGTGTTCCTCTGTCTGCACAATAAAACTCTAGGTTGTGTGTTGGAGCCACGGCCACCCATGTGTGCGGCGGTGGGGCAAGGGGCCGGGGCAGGGCTGGGCTCCAGCCTGTGGTGAGGGCAGGGGCAGGCTGTGCCCACAGCCTCCCACCTGGGGGGGACCCTTCCAGGGCAGCCCCCACCGTGCCTCCCCCTAGGCCTCCAGAAACCCAAGCCCTACGGAGAGAAGCAGGCAGGGGCAGGACTTGCCTTCCCCAGGGAGGGAGACCCCCTCCTGCCTACCCGGAGCACAGACCCCTGCACCCAGACCCCTTGCCCCCAT